ACGGGTGGGGGGAAGGGGATCAAAAGGAAGGAAAAGCAGGAGGTCGGAAGAGCACACAGGAGAGAGGCATCGCTCACTATTGTCTACACGGATGTCTATGCCCAGACCTGAAAGATGAGGAGGAGGCACCAGGGAGGCAGTGGGGCTGCAGGAGCGGAGCAGAACCTTCCAGGAGAGGGGGAAGCGTGCGGGTGAGCGTGTGGGTCAGAGGAGGAGGTGGGGGCACACAAGGACACCCTTCAAAAGGGCTGTCCCCTCACTCTGGGAGCAGGACCAGCTTTATGACACAAGGAGGCAGAAGTTAATGTTAAGAACAGCAGTTTGTAGTCAGATCTGAACTGAAATCCCAGCTCCACCACCCTACTAGCCGCGTGGCCTTGGATAAGCCACAACTCCCAGTTTCTAAACCCGGTTTTAGAAAATAAAGTGCGTGACGGGGGGTGGCAGGGGAGATAATATCGAGCTCAGGTGGTACAGTTAGGATGAAATGAGAAAAGGCACGCAAACACTTGGCACGTGGCCACCAAAAACAGATATCGTTCTGATTTGGGTTTTCAAAGGTCATTCTGGGCCCAGCATGCAAAATAAAATGGGGAAGGCCAGCCAGAATCACTCCTCTCTGGGAACACAAAGCAAACAAAAACAAAAATATGGAGACTTTACAGAACAAAACCCAGCTTGAGCAAAGCACGAGAGCTTTAAAGTCCTGGATGACAACACCGTGTAGCCTCAAGTAGCAACAGCAGCAACACGAGCAGCTTCCAGGCCCCTTGAAATCATGTCCTTTGAAGGTACAGTTGTCCTAGGTAAGTGGAACATACTCAGGTTTCCCCCGCAATCCAGAAGTGGCGCCTTCTCAGGAAACCTCTTGTAAACTGAAGTCTGGGCGTAAAGCGAGAAGAAGCAATTACCATGAATTTATAGGGAAACATTTCGAGCATTCTCAGACCTCCAAATAACCTCCCTCCCTTAACCTTGTCTGATACCCATTCCTTCTGGACGCACAAAATAAATGGAGATGAGCACAGGTGCTCACAGACACAGTGTAGAGCCTTGGCAGCTTGACGCCGAGATGCTGCCTGTCGCTTCTGGGGCCACTCTCGCTGCCTCTGTTAATGCCTCGCTGCAAGACAAATAACGCTATTTTCGCTTTTCGCCTTTTTCTTGTGAAAGCGTAAATCCTCTTCGGATTTCTTTCAGTTAGTGAAAACAGGTGCTAACATAGGGCTTTCCTAAAAGCAAAGAGGCCTAACACAAACTTTCCACAGGCGGCACACCTGTGTGTCCATCCATCCTACCTGGCAGGAGAAATGACTGCAGTGGAAACCTCAGGAAGATCTTCATGGTGGCCCCTGATTCGTGATGATGATGAACTTGCACCCTTGCCAGGGTACGGCCACAGAACTTGAGTCCCAAGGACCGCAAGACCCCTCCCTGCAAGCCTCTGAGTGATTCGTCTTGATGGAGTTTTCTAAAAACCTTCCTGCTCAACAATTGCTCACTGCTGAGAAAGGGTTTCCATCCGACACCCTGGCGTCTCTCCCTGTGTGTGACTCTCTTAGAATACATCCTTACCACGGATGTGAGGTCTTAAAAAGATTCCTGGTGAACTAACTGTCACTAACCAGAATTAAATCCCTTCTGTGGGATACTGTGAGCAGGACATCTAAGATATACCAGAATGGCTGTTTAAAAATCTTTTCTTTAAAAGTTTACTTATATATTTTGAGAGAAAAAGGGAGAGTGCACAGTGGGGGAGCAACAAGAAACAAAGGGAGGGGGGAGAGAGAGAGAGAGAGAGAGAACGAGAGAGAGAAAACGAGAGAGAAAGAGAGAGAGAATGAATCCCAAGCAGGCTCTTCGCTGTGAGCACGGGGCTCGAACTCATGAACCACGAGATCGTGACTTCAGCCGAAATCAAGAGTCAGTCGCTCAACAGCCTGAGCCACCCAGGTGTCCCCAGAATGGCTGTTTAAGAGCCAGAAGAGTGACACGTACTCTGGAACTGTGCTTGGCTTTCAGGAATGAACTAAGTAGGTAGGTACACGGGTACGCCCCATGGGCATTGAGAACGACGAGAGGGAACAAATTCCAACCCAACCCATCAGAAGAGTGCAAGTCCCCTTTCTGAGATCCAAGTCCCAACCCACCACCCACACCAACCACGTGGCCCGGTGTTGCATTCCGGCCTGGGAACACAGCAGTCTCGGTAAAGGCAGATTCCGTTTACCCGGAGGCAAAATCCAAATCACAGAAACAAGGGACCAGCCTGTATCTGCACATACTAAGTTGCTTTTATTAATCCAGAACGGCATGCTACAGATACTGTACAGCATGAACATTTATTCATTACAAAAATGGCTTCCAAACCATTAAAAATGAAATTGGAATAAGAGCATAAAACGGAACAGTAACATCACAACTGTTAGGAAACATTCAAAGTATTCACAAAAAATGTTATAGTTAGCATTTTAATAAACCAGAGAAAAATTGGAGACAGTTTTACAATCGCTTCATGTCAACTACAATGGCACTGAGTGAACAGATGTCAGCTTTATACAGCATTTTGCAACATCAACATGCCTAGGGTTTTTTTTATTTTTAAAGTTTGCCACCTACTCGTATGTAATACGTGTACATAAAAGCGGCAGCTGGTTTTTCCTTTAAGAGTAATCTAATATACAGAATTTTGGCCCCTAAGGGTTTATACCTCTTCATTTAAAATGCTTTCTGGACAATCTGCTACCAAACACATCTTGTTATAGGTGACATTAAAACTACATACAAATCTACCTATGTAACATCACAGCAAAACATGATGAACAAAAATTACAGCATCAAAAAGAGGGAGAAAGCTAAAGTCACTGAAAATTTTGGCACATAAAAGTTTTGCACACAGTCAGGCCATGTCCTAAGGGGACAGAGCTGTCGACTGTGAGTTCAAAGGAGAAACGGGGGCGGGTTCCGCTGCTGCTCAGGCAGCGTTGCTAAAATTCCCTCACTAATTTTCAAGTCTTGTTTTACATAATGGCTTTTAAAGCAACTTTCGTTAATGCTACTGATCCTTAAATGCAACTATTAATGTCCATTTGGCGGCATCTGGGTTTCATACAGCCAAAAAAAAAAAAAAAAAGAGAAACAAAAAAATATATATACACATTTTATATATAAACTTAAAAACCTTGTACAAATGAGTTGTTATATATAAGATGCTTATGCTAAGGGGAAAAAAACTTTATACAGTTTCAAGAAAAAGGAAAACATATTTTAAAAGGGACGACATACAGGTTCGACGAGCAATCTCTAAAGCAATAAATACTACTGGTCCAACAGCGTTGTGATTCCATTAATGGTTGAGTAGCATCCCCCTCCCCCCAAAAGAACAACACCATGGAACAAGGTATATTAACACATTTAACCCTTTGTTTCTGTACATTTAAACAATAACAAGTAACATCACAATTAAAGTTGTTTCACACAGAGGAAAAAAAAAGTAATGGCACTGCATTCCTCGTGCCCTTATGGTTTAAAAACCAGATGTAAAATGATTGGTTCGCAAGCTCGTATTTAATACAAATAATACAGAACCAACTCCTTCTGGAGGGCTGCTTCAAAATTGCTTTTTTTTTTTTCCTTTTTGTTTTTTAATCAGTCTTTTAAAACTAAGCTATCCGAACTACATAACAGTTATGTATATATATATATTTTTTCAACGCTACAAAGACTTTAAACAGCTGTTGATAAAAATTTTGGTAGAATCATGAGGTTCTTCTCTCATCTACATATTTAAAAGGAGGAATTGAAATAAGAATGGGTCAAATATTGACCAATGAACTCCATAAACATCAACTAATGTAGCCACGTGGCACAAAATTAAGAGAGTACAAAACGAAACCTTTCCAAGGAGGGGGTGCGGGGGTGTGTGTGTTGGGGGGGTGCTGGGGATGGGGGGGTGCTGGGTGGAACAGAAGCGGAACGCAACACTACGCAAACCAACCGGGGCGGACGAGGCTAAAGCTATTCTAAAGACTTGGTCACGAGGGACAGCGGCTGGGGCTGCGTCCCCGCCGCGGAGCCGTGGGAATGTAAGGAAGATGTCGACGGCTGCGCCATAGACGAGGCGGACAGGACGGGCGGCTGCAGCGCGGCGGGAGGCAGGTCCAGGGCCCCGTTGGGACAGAGGGCGGGGGCCTTGCCGTGGGTGGCCTCGGCAAGCAGGAGGGCGGGCGGCGGCGGCGGCATCATGGGCAGGTGGGCCAGGGGGTCGGGCTTCAGGGACAGCGAGAGAGGCTGGGTCTGCTCAGTCTGTGACTTGGCGTCTTGGGGAGGGGAGCCTAGCAGGTTGGGGGAGGGAGGAGGCGAGTCTAGTAAGCTTCCATCTGAAGAGGGTGGACTGAGGCAGCTGCCTTCACCTTGTATGTAGCGAACGCACTTTTTTTTTCTCCTAGAAACAGGGGGAGAGAGTCATCTGTGAATAGAAGGCAAAGATGCCAGGGGAGCGCGTTATCTACTGCTCAGAGCCGAGTTCGGGTCACCTCTGCCCCAAGAGCCAGCAAGCCCCGTGGCCGGGGGGGGGGGGGGGGG